GCGGTTTTGACGGGTCACGCACATCTCCAGAGCCGACTCATAGGGCCCCTAGCTATCGGAGTCTGGTGGCAGCTCCAACGGCTCCTGCTGGGCCACAACAGGTGCTACCTGTAGTTTGTCAACCTAGCTGACATGTTGCCTGTCCATTTTTCTCCTTAGGTTCCATGGACTGGACCAGCCTGCCCAAAGAGAGAGATATCTGCCTTCATCTGTGTTCCTGGGGTTTTCTGAGGACTCTTTGATCCAGCAAGCATCTTCTTCCCCAGCCATTCCTCCTTCCTCATCTTCAGGCAGGCCAAGTGACTCACATTCAACAACACTGAAGTTAACTCATTGAGGATGCTACATCAGGAAGAGGATGTATTCTGCCCCAGTTTCAACTGGCTGCATTTGGGGAGTCCTCCTCAGTCTTGGTTGCTCATCCAAAAGTCCTTCTGTCCTTCCTTCCATGAAGGCACCTTGGATATCTTCATTCAACTTGACCACCATTCAACTTGATGAAAGAAGGCTTTATACCAGGAACGAGAGGAAGCACGATTATCTATCTTTAAAAAAAAAAAAAAAGAGGGAGGGAGGGAGGTTGAATCATTCTTATCAGGAACGCTTCTTAATCAATTTACCCATGGGAAGTCTTTTAGCCACAGCTAGGAAATGTTCAATTCCAAAACATGTTCCTTGAATGCAAAGGGTTTTAAATGAATACACAAAATGTTTTGATTCCAAATGCATCAGGCACAAAACACTATTTTTTCCAGGAATTTCGGGAGTTTTTTGAGCTTGAAACACTCCAGAATTGTTTGAAGTAAGAATTTTAATGTTTTGACCACCTCTTAAGTTTGGCTTCTGGCATTCCTAGGAATGTTTTGATTTTGAAAGGCCACGCATCAGGCATGGAGGTTATGTCTTCTGCAGTTTTTTTACCATGGGCTGAGGCTGATGGGGTTTGAAATCCAAAGCACCAGGAGAGTCACTACTTTGTTTATTCTTGTTTTACCCAGAGAAGAAATTATTGAGTGAACTCAGTTTTTCAAACGTGGCAAAACTTTAAGATGTGTGGAATTCAACTCTAGCATGGAATTCTGGGAGTTGAAGTTCACACATTTTAAAGTTCCCGTTTGCAAAACATTGAATTAAATGGTCCAATTGTCCTATTCAGTATCAAGCAGCTTCTTCTATCTACCGCTGTTATATTTTCCCCCTCCCATCATAATTGTGGGGAATAATTATTGTATAAATACCATTGATTCTGTTTGAGATTATACATTCTTCATTGTTGGGAAATCAGTTATGGTTAATTTCTTAGATATTTGTATGTCTGTGAAGGGATAAGCATATATGTGTGATAACATACTTTTTGCAATATCCTTGAGTTTTAATTCCTTTGCACCTATTCTCTTCAGACTCAAGTGAAGAGAATTATACTGAAGCTTTCAACTGGCTATTTAGTTAGTAGCTTAATATATTTTTGTATATTAACCAAAAAACAGGAGTATATAGATATAGATATGAGGAAATATATGTGATCATTTTCTATGATGAGTATATTAGAGGTTTTAACAAACAGTAAGCAGAAGGGGAAAAGATAAATAGCCTCATTCTCAGTCTCTGTTTTCTGCACACTATATCAATTTTAACTTGGGTCATTGCCTATTTCTAACTACCAGTGCAAAACAATGGAAATAGGCTTTTCCTGAGTTAAATCCCTTACAGTACATGGGAAAAGATTGTGGATGTTACTCAGTGTGGGAACAGAGGCTCAATTGACAGCAGAATTAGCTTTGTATATTTTGGAAATAAAAGAAGCAATATGCATGATAATCTAAAGACGGAGAATGCTATAATGTCTCCAATAACCCTACACTATTGTTTTGTGAAATGAATGTAGATGTTGCGCACAAGATTCCCTATAATTTGTTGACGAAATATTGGGAGACAGATGTTGAGCATCTCCAAAGCCATTTCCCCTGAATGCTGCCAAGGGAAGGTCTTCTGCATTTGATAGGAGCGATCGGTGTTGGGGAGGTGTTTTAATTCTTCTCTTGAAAGTCAAGGTCAAAAAAACGGGTATCAGAATTCACCTTCCCAACCGCACGATTCCAGGATGCCAACAGCGCCAACAGACGTTGGCAGCTTGCTAATTGCAGCTCTGTCACAATTGTCTCTCACTGTTCTGACCTAGGCTTCACCAAATCATGAAGCAGAATCCTTGTCCCGACAAAACTCATTTTTAATTAAGCTAATGTGAATTCCTCTCATTCATATCCGCAAAGTCCCAGCAAACAGTCTTTCAAGGTTGAATTTACAACCACAGACTTTATCAGGCTTGGAGAGCTGCCAGGCCGATATCTTCCAAATGCAATGCTGTACAAGAAAATACTTGGCAAGGAGTCTCTGAGAGTCACGAACCAATCTTCACACTAATTAAGGGAGCTAATTGTCTCCTGCAAACTTCACTCACCTTTCGTTCTTTATTCCCTATGGGAGGGGCCATTCACCATCCATCTGCGGCCTTACTCCCAAGTCAACCCCTGTTCTTTAGCTGTCCCCTTCTCCTGACAGCTCTGTGCATGCGCACACTGGGAATAGGCTCCAGCTGTTCTTCTGCCCCACTGATGTCCGACGCCGAAGGCACCTGATAACTGTTGGAGGGTCCTGGCCCCCTCTCTGCCTCCGACGCAGAGCCCTTCCCCAGACTCCAGGACTGGCCTATGTTCCTCCCCAACCTCCTCTCTGTCTTGAGTCTGCCACCAGCTCTGCTGGCTGCTGGCAGGCCACAACACTCACTGGTGCCCAATGGAGGATTAGAAGCAGGACGCTCAGTCAAACAGGACATGTTTTTTTCCTCTTTCCCTCCTTAAGTGGTTCCCTTTGCTAAGAACGATGGTAGAAAAAGTAGTTAGTTAGAGGTGAAAAATGACATCAACTGGACCTCACCCCATAATACTGAGACAGGAAGATTCATTCATTCATACAAAATGCTTCATCTTAAAAGGGCACATTGAAAATTTTTGTTGATGGAGAAAATCAACCAAGATAAGACTCTTTGATGAGTCAGTCTCAAAGCTGAGGACAATATTTTGATGGCCTCTGGAAAAGTCATATTTAGCTATATTAAATCTAACTTAATGAACAATTCCTACCTTCACAAGTATTAGTCCTTGGTGTGAAACTACTGCTTTGCCCAACCCATAATCCTCCAGGTATGTTGGACCCCTACTTCCATAGTCCTCTACGGGGCTTAACTGGCTGAGAATTATGGGAACAGTAGTCTAACATTTTGGAAAGGCCTCTCAGTTGGGCAAGGCTGTTTACGAACACAAGAAATAAAAAGAAAACCCCAGTTGCATGAGGTCTGTTTTTTTTTAACTAAATATTTATCTTCTCTGCTGATATCCTGTTAAGGTCAACTTTTGCTTCCTATTCATTGTGCAAAGGTGGAGTTTTGCAAACAGCGCATAGAGTTTACCTAAGCAGCATGTGATGTTATAGACGGAACTGAACTGTCTATTTCTATTTCCCTGAGGACTTGTATCACGGAAAGGTTGCTTTAGACAGGCACCGCTAGGTCATTACGAAATTTTGTTTTTTTTGTTGCTGTGCTGTTCTTCTCTGCCTTTCTGTTGTTGTTTTTCTGAAGCAAATTCTAAATTGCCACATTCAGTTCCAATAAATGTTCTGTGCAGAAAGATTATTGGAGTTTTTCATTGAATGTGTTTTGACCTAGGCTTCCCCAAAAAGCATGAGGCAGAGTCCTGGTCCCGACAAAACCCCTTCTACTAAATCAATGTGAATTGCTCTCATTCACATTCAGCAAAGGCCTGGTAAACAGTCTTTCATAGGAATATTTATGACTACAGACCTTATCTAGCTTGGAAAGCTGCCAAGTAAATATTTTCCAAATGAGGTACTGTGCAAGGAAAGACTGGGCCAGAGACTCTGAGATTCACAGACAGATTTTCACACTCCTGAACAAATCTAATGAACGAATTGTTTCCTGTGAAAGCCCACTCCCCTTTCGCTCCTCTTTAATTCCCTATGGGAGGGGCCAATCACCTTCCACCTGTGA